AAATGGTGTAGACAACAACCTACTCAGATTTCTACTAAAAGCTTTAAATACTATTTTTTAGTAGAGCAAAACAAAACTAAAAGCTTTAATGCCAATTCGAAAAGATTGACAAGATCTTTAAGCGCATGAATTTCAATATTAGAAAAAAGTACCTGAAAAGCTTTAATATTGCCTATATAAACAAATTTGAGAGTCAATTTAATTTATTCTAATTAATAACTCTGCTAGAGCTTTAATACTTTTCGGTGGCTTTCAAAGTAATATAAAAACAAGATTCATATAACAACTGTAAATAAAGATATACACCAATTTCGTAGCTCCTTAGCCACTCCGCTACCTTATCTCTACTCTCTACTCTCTTCTTTGTTCAATAAGCTTTAATATTTACTCAAAAAGCTTTAAGCTCAAGTTGCAAACAATATTTGAAATCAACATTTTTCTACATTTGTAACTTTAGAAACTTATTTGAAAGTTTTCTTAGCTGTAAAATCTTTATTGTTAACAGATCAGCGTTGTAAAAAAAATCTTGAATATTGGGAAGCTTTTTTAGAAATTTATAGATATATTTTTCAGTCAAGCCGCAAGTTGAGCTTTACCTAAGCTTGAAATATGAAATTGTACAAAATTTTTGGGCAGCTTTTTAAACTGTTTTATTCGTAACCTCTAGCGATAATTGCTTTAATTTTCAAAGGCACCCGGCTGCCCAGGTAACCCAAAGAGCTGTCCACACACACACACACAGCGTCACGTTGCCCCCCAGCTTAAAGCTAATAAACTCCAAGGTACATGAAAGCGAATACCACGCAGCGGACTCATCCCAGCTCAGAGAGAATAAAATAAAAATGAAAATAGTATAGAAAAAATGTTGGAAAATGAAAGCCCACTTTTCTTTTCATTAGAAGAAAAGCGAAAATCGAGCAGCAACACGCATTGTCCTAGCCAGAAAGGACATTCAATGAAAAACAAGGAGCTGCCCCAAGAAGTAAAAAAACAAGCTAAAACAAGCCGAATTCCTGCCCCGCCCACGCGCACATGAAAGTTAACAAGGCATCAAATAACAGGCGGCGGCCTTAAAAGGAAAAAAGGGTATCCTAGCGACCAAACAAGAGCATCAGGACATGAGCCAACAAATGTCCATCACAAAAAAAAAGAAACGAAAAAAAAACGGCCAAAAAACGTAGCTTAAAATGAAATGAAGCGAGGCGGGGCGTCGATGGGCATGGGCGGGGTCAGCTTAGCAGTCGAAACTTACCTGCGAGGACACACGCAGTACATGTGTGTGTGTGTGTGTGTGTCTCGCATGTCCTGCGTGCGTCATGTAACGCCTACAGCCTACAGCTAGAAGCGATGTCAAGCAACAAAAAGCAGGACAACTTCGACTGAATCAAAACTCAACAGCACTACAAAACAGCACAGGATAATCAATTGAAACTTTCAGTTTTACGACTGTGAAATATCCTGTAAGAAGTCCTTGCATAGATACAGAGGAACTCTTAATAGTACTTATGACAGATATGTTCGAAAATAAATAAACAAATCTAAAGTTGGCACTAGAAATATTCGTGTTGTTGCTTGAAGTCCAGTCTAGTATAGCAGAAAGGATAATTATGAGGAATATGAAAAACAAGCATCTTTAAGGCTATAAGTTCATGGTTCAAATTTCACTTTATATGCACATAGTTTTGTAAATAAACTTACATTTATTTATAACAACCAACTGAAAGCTAAGTGATAAAGACTTTCGCTGATCCGAGTTCAAACCCCTCTTGAGAGCTCCACAATGTTAAAAGTTTGGATTAATGAAAGCTTGAAAAAAGCTAAGGCTCGAATTCCTTTGCCAGAAATGAGATATGATTGTGATATAATCTAAGACATGAAGAGAACACGTTTTACTCTTATTAAATATATGACCTAGAAGAGCCTAAAGAAAGCAAGGAATAGGAAAATAAAATCTAAAAAATTTATAAAAACGTTCATATTAATATATTTCATGCCTCACACATTTAAAAAACGTGTGATTCTGATGAAATACTCTGCTAAAAAGGATGTCCTTAAGAACGCCATCCACACACACTCGGAACTGTCTAAATGAACGCCATCGCCAACACTTGAACAGCCTCTAAAACTCTCTCTCTCCCCCCACTCGAACTCTCTTTGTCTCCTCCGTTCGATACAGAAATCATTTCTTAAGCGCGAGCATCGAAAATGTCCTTTGGGGTTAGTCTGTAAAAATTCATTTAAAAAAATGTCAACGACTATAAAAATAAAACTGGATTTTAGTCGAGTTAATTTGTCGTTTAACTTCCTGTCAGCTGCCGAAACACCCAACTATTTATCACATATGTAGAGAGAGACAGAGAGACAGAGAGAGTAGAGACATAGAAAGAGAGAGAAAGAGTCAGGACAGCTATCGATGTGCAACAATATGTAACAAATGCTGTAAGCAGTTCTGGATTTGCTCGCGAGAATTATTCCAGCTTTAATTTCCCTACTCAAAGAATTGAATTGAATTTCCATTATTACCCAAAAGCGTGAAACATTATCGATATTTTGCTACTCAAAAAATATATAGAATCGGGATTTCCAAAGAATAACTTCCACATTTCAGTTGTTTACAAAAGTTAAAAAATTCGTCTGCAATAAAAATATTTGAAACCCTAAACTATTTTCAACTTTGTGGACTTATTGAAAAAATTATTCTCTATTTTCACTTTCTACGTTCAACCAGATTACCAGTTAATACTAGTTGCTACTATAAAAATGAACAGCTTTGTAGTTCATACTTATTCATCAGTCAGTCAATCAGTCAATCTTTAAGCGAATTGAATTGCTTTGAATGGCGACTTCAAATGAATGCCCGATTGGTAACTACTTGAACTATGTTTATATATTATATTACATATATATTATGCAATCAATCAATCAATCAATCAATCAAATCTAAAACTTAATTACTTGTGTGCTCTACTATCAATCGTCCATCAGTCAATCAGCTCGGTCAGTCTTTGAATTTTACATATATTATATAGTCTTTGCCCCATAGTCCACTATAAAATTAGAAATAGGAAATTGATGTAAGCTCTGTTTAAAACCCTTACAAAGTGAGCATCAGTCACTCAGTCAGTCAATCAATCAATCAAATTAGTATTAATTATGCTCATTACAATTCTATTAACGAATTTTTTGTAATACTCGTAGCTATCTCTAGCTCGTAGCTATATTTGCCAAGATCATCAGTAGTCAATCACTAATCAGTCAATCAATCAATCAAATTTTTATGAACCTAGCTCTATAGACAACTCAATATTGTCGTTACTCCAAGTTCTCAATGACCAACTTTTCTAATAGCTTGGCTTAAGTCATGATCAATCAGTCAATCAATCAATACTCACTGCCACAGCTGCAACAGTTTGAGAGCCACTCGCTCGGCACTTGCTGTTCTCTCGTTAGCCACGCGTCGTTTATATTTAGACTTCGACTCGCTGCCATATGTTTTCTCCTGATGCCGCACACAAAGTGCATATTTTTTATATATATCCTTTTCGTCCTGCCGCATGATTATTGCCAGTCCAAATATGAATTTGCTGCGCCTGCGCCGTTGGCCATGTCGAAAGGCATTTTACCATGCCACATAAATTCGTAATTAAAACGAGTCAAAGGATTCGAGATTTGAGAGGTCCTTTTCCACAGCCAGGATCGGCGGGTGGTGCTTGGCTGCGGGCCAGCTGCTGGTCAGTCTGACCATAAATTATACAAGGATACGCAATCCTTTTGCCAACACACACACATTTGCAATTCAGCAGGACTCGCCAGAGTCTGCCTCTATCTCTCTCTCTGTCTCTCTTATGTGCTTGCAATCAATAATGATTGTCCTGCATTGTCCTCGTCGTGTGTGCTGTGCACAGCCGTAATTTATTGTCCTTTGGCTGTTTACCTTTCCCACGCAGAAGGTTGACGCCATTCGCTCGACTGCCTAACAGTATGTCCTGCGTCCTTTTTCACTTTTTGCTGTGATTTTGACTTTTATATTTTTTGCGTGTGTCCTTCCTGGAAAGTGTCCACTGTGAGTTCATTTTCTCGTGCTAGCCCTTGGAGCCGTTGGCTAAACCCTTTGATGCGGTCCTTTTTCCATTGCTTTAGCCTTTTTATCATTATCCTTGTTATCTCCTTATAAGCAAAAGGCTTGCCTATCCTGTAATTAAAAAGACAGCCGCTGCATCCTTTTAACGCAAATTGGGCATAATTATCCTTCCGTTGAAAATGGATGGTGGGCGTGACAGCTGCCACAGACGCTTAAGGATAACGCGCAGGATGTTTTATTTGCTAAATTGTTGCCTGTGCGGCCAGGAACTTCATCTAGATAACGCTTGCTACGTTTAAACAAAAAAAAAGCAAGGTATTACATTTGCCAGGATTGAAAACCTAACAGTTTAGGGGTCGCTGTGCATTGCTAAGACATACAGTTTGAGTCCTATTGTAGCAAACATCGCCAGATGGCGAAGAGTGAAAAAATCCGATAGAAATTTGGGCACACTGCGTGGAAGTTCGTCGATTACAGTGTGCTACATTTTTCGTCCATTTTTAACATATATTTTTAACATATCAAAAAAAACATCACATTTTGCCAAAAATGATAAAAGCATATATTTATTATAAAATAATAATATTATAATACATATAATAATATTATTATAAAATAAATAAGTCGAATCGATTCAAATATCCCAATGCACACAAATAAAAGTCCAGAATACTGCTTATGTCCAATTTTAGTTCATTTTGATACACTAACACATTCCAAATAAACCCGCCAACATAAAAGTGAACGCAACTGACGCTAAAAGAATCCCATTATGAGTTGTAACTGTTACTTATAACTGTAAGTAAATAATAGTTTACCACTCATTAACTATTCATCTGTAATATAATTATTTTTAATTATACTAGATATGCTATTTGAAATGTAGTCAAATTAAATCCCGTAAAAATACTTAATACACAGTATAAATACCGAAATGTAGCTTTCGCCCAATTTTAGCTCATTTTCCCTTGCACACATTCACATTCTGTCTTCTTTTTCCCGGCAAACAAAAAAAGAGAGAACTGATAAAAACGTAACGCAATAGTGGAAAATTGTTGAGACATGACGAGTTTTCGCAAACGGACCGTGCAAAAGCCAATCCGTGGCACACGCACAAGCCCCCACACTGGCCAGGTGATCACCTCCAGCGGTAATCCATCGCTCGATCTGATTTTAGGCGGTGGTCTGCCCATCGGCTCAATTTGCCTGATTGGTAAGCAACGCAATAAAAACTCGTCTGCTAACTGTTAACTGTTTAACTATGTGTGTTCTTTAGAGGAGGATCGCTTCATGACGCATGCCAAGGTGCTGGTCAAGTATTTCCTGGCTGAGGGTCTGCTGTCTGAGCAGGAGCTGTTTCTTGGCAGCTTGGATGATTTGCCTGCAGAGATGTTGCGTCGCCTTCCCAAGCCACTCACCGACGAGGAGGTCGAGCAAGAGCAGCGCCAGGAGCAGGAGCAGCAGGCGGATAAAAATGGTCTCCGCATTGCCTTTCGCTATAACGATTTGCCCCTGGTAAATTCCGAGCAGGCCACAGCGAAAATTGGACATCACTTCAATTTAATGGAGCACATGGATGCCATGATGCTCTCCTATGCGCATACCACTATTTGGAATGATAAGAAAGTGAATCCAGAGGATTATGAAGATTTCGATGTTGCTAACGATACGGAACAGCCAAGCGCTGGAGGCGCTGATTCATTGCTGGATCACATAGAGTCGATGCCGTACTCTTATGCCCAGGCCGTGGGATCCAAGGAGAGCCAAGATCCGGAACCGAAACAGGCTCCAGATGCTGCTGCTCCTGATGCTGCTGACACTGATGAAGCTGCTCCAACTGAACAGCCCGATGGCTCCAGAATTGCCAGCAACATCAACAACAACAATAATAATAATAATGTGGATAACAGCACTGCCAACAATACAACAAGCACAACTGGAACAACAACCACAACCACTCCCACTGCATCACCATCAGCAGGCAAGCCACAATTTTTTTACAATGCACGCTACGATCGCCTGCTCAACTATATTCAATTGCTGCTCAACGATTCGATCTTCGAGCCGGGCACCAATATGCAGGAGAAGAATCTGTGCAGGGTCTGCTTAACCTCGCTGGGCTCTCCACTGTGGTACGATGATCACTTTGCCGAAGACTTGCTCAAGTTTCTAACTATATTGCGAGGCAGCGTGCGTAGCTGCACAGCTGTTTGCTTCATCACAATGCCCATGCACCTGATAGCCAAATATGTGAGTCTAGAGAGGCGAACTGTGATTCTTCTATCATATATTTACATATGTTGATTTGTTTGTTTACAGGACAGCAGCTTGGTGCCCAAGATTCGTCAATTGGTTGACTATGCCATTGAGTTGGAATCGTTTGCTGGCTCCGAGCGTGAAACACATCCGGCTTTCAAGGAGTACAGCGGTCTGCTGCACCTGCACAAGATGAGCGCCATCAATACGCTGGCTGTGCATATGCCGGAGACCACGGATTTGGCTTTCAAGCTGCGCCGCAAGAAGTTTGTCATCGAAAAGTTGCATTTGCCTCCAGGTGGGAACTGTTGCTGATTTATAATGACTATACGAATCTTTTAAATATTTCCCATGCGTTCTCACACAGATCTACAGGAGGCATCGGAGCAGGCAGCCAAAGGCGCGGATGTGTTACCGCTACCCAATTGCGGCGTCCGTTCAAATGTTTCCATGGATTTCTAGTGCCTGTTTTTGGGCGCCGATATTATGGCCACGTTGTGTTGGTTATTTCATTAAACCTATACTTTTTTATATACTCTGTCTCTGCGCAAAATGAAGGAAACATAAGGAAGCCAAGCTGTGCGAATACAAATCAAAAGTGAAACCCACAGCAAATGCTGAAAAAAAAAAAAAAAAAAAAAAACAAAACAACCAATTATATACACAATAATATAGTGCATCGGCGTTTATTGAACGTTGTTGCCGTTAGTACAACCGATTTTTACAAATTTTATTTCTTATTTAAAAATAGTTTATAATAATATTGTACACAGAGTGCGCCCACAAACACAATTTCCATATATACATTGTATAAACAATTTTCTAAAAAGAAAACTAAAAAATGAGATACGAGCAAACAATTTGTAAGATTTTATGTAGTTATATATATGTATGTATTAAAACAACAACAAAAAGCCATTGAAATTTTTTTAAAATTAATATACAATTCGATTTTTTAATTTACGATTATAAAAAAAAATTAAGTACAAGTTCAATCTGTTTCCTTCAAAATTTTATTTACATATCGTTGAAAAGTGTGTATATGTATATTTAATAGATCGTGTTTCGATTCTGTCTTTAAGGATTTTTTTATCGCTTACTTACAAACTAGTAATTTAAGCGCAGCGAAATTTAAAATTGTAATCGTAAAAAACTGAATGAGTATGAATATTTGTTTTGTTCGATCCTCAACATATCTTAAAAAGTTTATAAATTATTTGCAGTTCGTTCAAACTGCTGGACACTTAAACTTTAGACTTCTGCGATATTTGCCGAGTTCCGATTTCAGCTTCATGTTCGGTCGCAGCGCATCGGCAAAGTATTCATCGCACGGTGCATACGTCATGTATAGTATAAAGTCGGCTGCCTGCAGTCCATCGGGCGTCTGATAGCATATCTTGGGCAGAAGCAACCGGCCCTCGTACTGGCATTCCAATAGCTTGTTGCCCAAACTGCTCTCAATTGCCATCTTCATGTTGGTGACGCCGTGAACCTTGATGCTGCAAATGGACAAGAGGTATCATAACTATATAAATATAAATATACTCGTGTGGTCATGAGTGAGTATAAGTTTATCTACCAGACTATCTGACAATACTCCTTTTGTTTCAGTTGGATGAGACACACCATCATTTAGCTGGTTAGCATCAGCATCAGGAGCCTACGCCTTACTCTACTTATGTAGCCACTACATTAAATCCTACCTCAAGAACAAACAGAAATCAGTTGAAGGAAGATGGACCTCAGAACTAAATGTATGATCTAGTATCTATCTATAAGTAAATATTTTAATATGAATTCCCATTGCAGTGGCAACACGTTAGTTAAATCGGGGACATATAACTACATATCTATCTGCCTGATCGGAATCTACAGTCGACTCTCAGTAAAATGGTCATTTTATCTGTCTAACCGGATGCCAACTACTTAAAAGCTTGCTCCTTGTAGCATCTAGATCGGATCCTACTGTATGGATATATAAATCGACAAGCTGCCAAAGTTTTCAACTCATTTACTTGTTATCCTCGAGCTGTAGCAGCAGCCTGTACAGCACCAGTTGTACGAACAGTCGAATCTCCAGATCTTTGTCCATTGTCAGAGGCAGCAGTACATCGATAATGCACTGCAGTTGCTCCAGTTTGATCGCATTGTACTTGCTGATGCAGTATATGTGTAGCACGGAGATCAAGGACAACTGCTGGCAGGACTTGAGCTCAGCCAACTGCTGCAGACGATTCAACAAGAGATCTACGCTAGGCAAACAGCGCGCCACCAGACATTCATACATATATCGGATATTGTCCCGCTCGTTGGGTGCGAGCAGTGCTTGCCACAGCTGATCTGACCAATAGCTGGGACCCTTGAAGGTTATCCTTATCAAGGCTCGAGCAATTCGCATCTTGATGCGATGATCCTTGCAGTTTTCTATGTAATCCTGTTTCGTGTCAATCATCTCGTTGTTGATGCGCAGCAGCTCGTTGAGAAGAGGATGCGTATCCGTTTTGCCTTCAATAACAAAATTAATGTAACTATCCCGTTTCCTGCAACTCGTAAAGAAATAATTGTACTGATTGATCAAATATCCATACTCGATGCTGTGAGAAGGATGAAAAAAACGGATGAGATTGAACTACAAGTTAGGCCGGTCTTATTACCATTTTTCGCCAGACAGCGGATTACCCGAGAGTAAGCCACGTATCAGCAGCGATGTGGGCACACTCTTAGTGCAGCACAAAATGTTTATATTAAGGAACTGGCTGGCTTCCAGGACATCATTAAGGATCTGATCACTTTCCTCAATGGACCAATGTGCGGAGGCATATTTCACAATGGCTGTGGCGCTGTAAGTGGATAGGCAACAAGGAGAATATAAAGTAAAAGTAAAAATATAGTTAAAATACTTGATAAGAACTGATCGAATAGATGGTACCCTCTAGCCGGGTATAAGTAGACTTAATAATTGATGTACTTACACCAAGACACTATCCGGATACTGCTTGAGGTATGCTATCAAAGACTTGATTATGCTCTCATCCTCTAATCGAGCCTCGATTCCATTCAATAAAGTAGCTATACGCTGAGCTGTTAGAATTGTGCCTTGACTAAGCAGTTCCGATGGTTTAAGATTGAGCTCGGCCAGTTGGTTCCAGCTGATGAGTCTCTCGCACGTATACCAATCGACACCTCGATGCAATACAAAGGCTATCTCCTCATCAGTTACACACTCGAGTTTGTTTACCAAATATTGCTGCATCTCGTTGAGGTCCGTAAAGCGCTCGAGGTCATCGATATTCAAGTCATATTGCTCCTGGTAGAAATCGAGAATATGCATTCTATCACTCGTACTCTCCAGTTTAAGACTGAAAAAGAAGGAGAAGAGGCGCCACCAGCCATGCTGAGCCTTCGGCAACTTGCTCATCTTCTTATGCAGTTCAATGCCTATTTTGACGTCTAAAAACATATATTTATGGATGTATTATGCATTAGTATTTAGTTTGGTTTCGATTTTGTTTTACCTGTGCGAAAGATAATCACGTAAAGACTCTTGTCAAAGTGAACCAGTTCCTCATTGATATTAGTGCAAGTCGCAATTTTCGCTGTAAAACGTTTGTGATCCCTACAAAAATTATCGTTATTGCTGCAAAGGGCCCTCAAAAACTGTATATAATCGCCCAGTGAAAAACTCTCAATTGTGGGCTGAAAAAGAGTGCAAGAATAATAACAATATAATTTTTCATAATTTTTATTTTACATTTTATCATAAAAAAACTATTGTAAACAAGTAAAAATTTTGCATTCTCTATAGCAGTCTAAAAACTTGACACGCTCTAAAGGCTGGGACATATTATTTATTTTTTAATTTATTTTTATTATTTATAGTTCTATCTATGACGAATGTAACCCTCCTGCAATTTGAAAAATTCTAGAATACAGTCCATCCGATTTGGCCCCAGGTCAACTCAACTTATAAAATTTTAGGTTTCTAGCTCTTAGCATATTTTTGCTGAGTGCTACAAAAATAATGCTCAAAATATATTAGACTTTCATTCAAGAATCTAAAATCCAGACCCAACATTCTTCCCTATCTTTTCATCTACCCCAAAAACTTGAATATTTAGAACATCGATTCAACTTAACCTCAATTAAAAGAAATTAAAAAAGACCCTGAAACTTACCTCAAATATATCGAACATTCGATTCTGTGCCTCGTAACGCAAAGTTTCGTGCTGCATTAATTTGACATGGCCGCAAATCTTCAAGATTAATGCCATTGCCACGTGCGGCTGGCGAGGCTGCATGCTACGCAGCCAATGAAGCAGGGGCAGGCTCTGCCAGGGCACCACGACCAGGGCCTCCAGAAACTGCAGCGTTCCACTATTCTGGACAAACGTCTTGATATTCTGGTCGGGCAGCACATAGTCCTCGGTATCGTAAAGTTCCGTTTTATTGGTGGTAGCCAGGAACTCGTCCAACAGATTCACTCGGAGCAGGTCCGCAATAGTCGAATGCAAGAGAAGGTACTCAAGGGTCCAACGGACGACGAGTTTGTTATGGTTCCTAATTAGTCGCTGATAGAGTATTCTTAGCCAGCTAAGCCAATCGTTATCCACACTACAGGCCACAAAGCGTGGCAGGTGGCCGCTCAGCATGGGCAATACCAAATGTGAATCCTCCTTCTCCAGCTGCTCCAGGATGACCACATAGGCTGGCCAATGGGGCTCCACGCTGTTGAGTACCTTCTGCAGCTGTGGATAGGTCTCGCCATCGTTCTTGGCATCCTCGCATTTGCTAATGCTCAACAACAACTTGCGCATTATCGAATAGGCCAATCTGCGACTCTCGCTTAGCTCCGACTGCAACAGCTTTTGTATCACGATGAACAGCTGCGGCGAGCAGGTGTACTCGAGCCCTAGTTCACGCACAAAGTCATCTAGCAAGTGCTCCAGTATTTTCCCAGCATGCGGATGCAACGGCATCTGCTGATTCTCAATGTTCACCGAATCACACAGCGATATCGATGAGAGTTTGCGCAGCAGACATAATCCTGACCAGGGATATTGTTTGGCGTGCGCCTGCACTGCATTCAAGACTTTGGAGATTTGCTCCTGGTTCACCTGGTCGCTGGCCCTGTCCGCAATTACCACCGAGATGAGCTTGTCATAGAGCTTGGTGCCAAACTTGACATCTTTGGTGCTGTTAAGCTGGCTGTAGATGCTCTGCAGCACCCGCCGCAGCGCATCCTCGTTGCCCTTCACCTTGTGTATATCGATCAGATCGCACAGCATGTTGTCCATTTCCACATTTTCGCCATTTTCCAATTGACCGGTTTCCACAGTCTTTGAAATTTGCATTGTTTTTTTTTTGACTATGTTTACTAATGTGCTATTCCTATACAAAAATATGAAGTTATGTATACGATTTTCGTTATGATATTTTAATAGTTGACCCAAATCTCAATGGGAAATGTGTTTACATAAATGCCTCAGTAAATTCAAAAGAAAATCAGAATATTATATTTGTGAAGAATCGACAGACTCAAAGTATTTAGAAATGATGCAGCTCACCAAAATTGGACTATATTTGGCATAGTAATGTCAGCCTAGTCTTAAAATATTTCTTTAGATTAATTTGTTAAAATTCCTAATCCGAAAGTTAACAAAAGTTTCTAAAACCCCACAGAATGACTGTAAAATTGTTTTATATACTAATTTGGATACGTAAAACCGCCTAAAAATAAATTTCCTGAAATCTTAAATTTTCCAAATTTCACTCAAACAAATTCTACATACTTTTGAAATTTATATAAGATTTGATTAAAAAATCAATCTATGAAAGCAAACCATTATGAAAATCAGTTAAGTTTTGACAGAGTTGTAAAGGTTTAAGAGACTACGCTAGTCGAAAAATTATAAAATAAATAAATATTTGCTAAGGTTAATATTATATTCGATTATTCTTCTGCTTGTCAATCAAATCACTTTCTAGTTTCAATTTTGTTCTATCAATTAGTACGTTTATATTTCGCCCTCATCTTAAAAGCTGCTCAAGTTCATTGAACGCTTCACCTCTTAACCCCAGCTCCCAATTTGGATTAGTTCTATGCACTCATTGTGGGGCAGTTACACTTTGCATCTTAGCCGCTGCTGCAGGGCTTTCTAATTGCCCAGCCAACCCTTGGCAAGTGCTTGGCACCCACACAGCTAGCGACAGCGCACAGCGTACACAGCTTTGACCCCAATCCCAACCCAATAGAGTGAAGTAATGAATGATTTAATGGGCCACGAGTGCGGGGAGGGGGTTAGTTGCATGGTTGAGCTATGCGTATTGCGCAGCAGCAGCGGAAGTGCCAGCGCCATGTGGATCACAACGGTAAAGTGGACAGCAAACTAGTAAGAAAGAGTGCGAGAGCGTGGAAATTGCAGTGGGAGCGGGAAAGAAACTGTGCGCTAAAGAGAGAGAACAAAAGCAAAAGCAAAAGCAAGAGCAGCGCAGATCAGCAAGAAAATACAATTAAAATGTCTCCAAAAAAGCAAAGAACGCGCTCAGAATTAAGCATTTGCGAGAGCTGATACAAAACTTCAAAAAGTAGCTATGGCGCAGGCAAGATAACCATTGCAATTGCAAACAACAGCAATTACTACTCTCGCTTCTCTTTACTATGCGTTGTTTTCGCTTATGCACGTAGCGGTACTTTGTCGAAATAGCCATTTAGAGCGGTGAGTAATAGCAGCTTTAAATTTACTTGAAATTCGTAGTGAAAATTAGAAATTTGTCTCAATAAATTGCTTAAAACTAAGCAAATTAACAAACTATTTATTTATTAATAACACTTCGGAATCTAAATAACTATAAAAGCAACCCTCGCTCATAGAAAGATAAGCCTGTCCAACAAGTTTTCCATGCAGAGTTCTGACCAGCTCCCATGACTGTAATTGTTGTTGTTGCTCTATTGTTTACAAGCGGTTCCATTTGACTGCAGCTGCAGACACGACAGACCAAAAGAGCGAGAGAGGGAGAGTGTGACAGTCATAGAGAGAGTGTACAAGAGAGTGAGAGAAAGAGAGGGAAAGAGAGAGAAGGAAAGAACGTGAGCCCCCGATCATAAAACAGAAACGTGAGCGTCAGAGCTTGGCTGAGCTCTGTCTAAAAATTCAGGCGCGAGCAACTTGCCACAAGTTGGGGCAACAACATTTGTGCTGCCGCATCTGCTTTGAGCTCTTCAGTCAATGTTTTGCCGTCAAGCGCGTCGTTTGTTTGTTTTCAAGAAAAACCGTTGAAATTTTCAAAAACTTCGTTTCTACACTTTGTGCTTTTTACAACTAATCAGCTAACCCGCCGCAGAAATGACATAAAACAAAAGCATTCTATGTGCAACCAGCTTGCCACCCACATGCTCCACAACGCTGACCGCTCAATTGTGTACAAATCCACTTAATTAATTAAGAAACACCCACAAGACACGAAAGATGGGGCGCTGTTTCAATCACAAATTTGTGCTTAACTTTTGCAATTTTTTATTTTTGGTAAGTTTTATAGATAGACGTATATATATCTGTGCATGTCTGTATAATGGGTGAAATCTAGGCCCTATACTCGTAAAACTTCATTTGTTGCAGTTCAGTTGGGTGTAAACTAAAGGGTCCCTTGGTTATGTGTTGAAAGTGAACAGAAAAGTTTTAAAAATAATAATTTATGTGGGTAGATCAGAGGGTTCAAAATGGGTTCAAGTACCAGACAGTAAAATGCAATAAAATCATTTCGAATCATTATTCTTAATTATAGAGCAATGTAATTGATAATATTGCCCTTAGATAACTTAAAAATTAACTTTTATACTCAGCTTATCTTTCGGAAATTTATCTGAAGCTGTTTTAAACACTTTCAAAATACTTTTGGACTTTTTATTTCTGAAAACGCTTGCTGTGAAAATTGTTTATTGGAAATGAAATGAATTTTTCTAGAGTACATATAATTAAAATAGTTTTTATCATGAGATATTTCTGAATTTGGAAACTCTTTTACACACTTATCTTAAAAATAGGCTTACTAGACTTTTCAGTATTTTTCCCAGACAGAATAAGTTATCAAATAGTTGAGAACAGATCAGTTTTTACACTTATCTTATCTACAGTCCACTTCTGCCCTATCTTCTTACCACGTTTTTCATTTTGTTAGAGCATACACATATCGTCTCTTCCATTTTACACTATTTTTTATTTGCTCGACTTTGTTTTTATTTTGGATATGCTTGGCTGCTTGAAAGCCATTTGAATTTGGCAGGTGGGCGGTGGAGGTGCAGGAGGAACCGTCGAAAAGTTTTTTCGCCAATGCTTTTTGGCTGTGAAAGAGGCGGACATGGCGCAGGCGCAGCTTGGCACCGGAAAGTTAACTCTAAAGCCTTCTTATAGATACCCTTTAACACGTATTATCTTCAGAGTCAGAGAGCTAAAGATGACATAGATAGGTGCCTTTAATTCAGAGATGAATAATATAATTATTGCACGTAATATTGAAGGTATGTGGCTTAGTTTGGCTTTAATAAAATTAACTCTTCTCTTCCATTTTCATGGTAGTCTATGCCAGATATCAGTGAGACTCTTGCTCTCTTACAATGTTACACATTTCTACTAGGTTTCACTGATTATAGGGTAGTTGAAAACAGGTAATAGCTAATTGGGGGGCGGGCAAGGAGGTTGTTATGAAGCTGACGAGCTCCAACTTCCGTTGCGTGTGTGCAGACCTCAAGCTTTTCACACAACTAGAAATAATAACAATATGAGCTGCCTTTTGTTTACACGCCCCCTCGCACTCTCTCTCTCTCTCTTTCCATCTCCTGCAGCTCTGCGGCACGCTGCTGATAGTGGCTGGCTGTTATCTTTATACGGACAACAAACGCATTCTGCTCTCGCGCCTTCTGGCCGCGCCCAGCGAACAGCTAAACTCACTGCCCCAGCCGCTGCTCTACTACATTGCCTTGGGACTGGCCATAGCTGGCTTCGTGGCTGTGTTGGCCTCTGTGCTGGGCTTCTGGGCCAGCTGCCTGCACACCTATTGCTTCCTTAGCGTCTACTTTTTGAGTGTAGTGGTGCTGCTGTTGGCTGAGTCAATCATCTGCTTGGCCATCACGCTGTGGCCTCACTGCTTGGGCATTAGCCTGGACGAGACGCAGATGGTGAAGGCGTTGCAGCGTAATTATGGCGTGCCCGGCCAGGAGCAGTTCACCAATGCCATGGATCTAGCTCAGACCCGTTTCGGTTGTTGCGGCATGCGCAGCTCGCTCGACTACGACACCGCGCTGTGGCGTCTCCAGAGCTATGGCCAGCGCAATTGGCCTGTGCCTCTGAGCTGCTGTGTGCTGGCCAATGCACCACAACCATTGGCCTTCCTCGATCCCAAGCCGGCGAACGAGACTCAGTGTCAGGCACTGGAGCGCTCTGTGTACGAGCGGGAGCGCTACACGGAGTCCTGCTTGGTGCACCTGGATAGCTGGTATCGCGAGCAGTATGGCATATTTCTAGCTGCCAGCTTGGTCTTGGCTTTGGTTGAGTTCAGTGTTCTGCTGGGCATCATACTCACCTGCACAGGCATTGCCTCGCAAAGAGCCAGGTTAGATAGCTCTCTAGCCACGCAATCCTTCAGCCAGAAGGGCCGAAGACGGCCTACGGCCAAATCACGTCAAGCTTTAGTCGACAACATCTACGAGTCGGAGGTGCAACTGCGTGGCCAAGCTGCTGGCACGTGCCTGGGCCAGTCATCAAGTCGACATGTGAGCAGCGAGGACTTCAAGGAGTTGTACGTCCAGCCCAGAGATCTGTACAAGCAGCGCCATAACACGACCTTTAAGCCCATTGCCAGCGACTATCAGACGCCAACGAGAAGCTACTTGGTTTAGCAACAGGTGAGCTAAACTAGCCTAAACTAAATATAAACTCAGTGAGAACTTAAATGATATATAGAACTAAATTAAAATGCATTGTATTTAAAAAATAGTTATACAACATTATTCAAACATTATATCTATACACAGAACATTTACAGTTTTGATTTTGAGGTACTTTTGCACAAGACTTAAAAACTAAACAAATGAAATTTATATTTATTCTCTTTCAAGCTAAACGGCAAATGGCACGAGGCACATAAACTACAAACCAAAGTATTATAAAACATATAAAATAAAGTACTTCAACTTATGTGTTAGATCACAAACGTAACGATAAGATTAACAGGGTATTTAGCTGAAGAAATAGTATGGGGTAGTCATAGGGAATGGCACTGGAGCTAAGCACAGCTCAATCAATGAGTCAATCATTTAATAAAGATCACATCGTCGTCGCTGGAATCGCTGAGTGTTTGTATGCGTCGTCGCTTGCCTCTCGCAGTTGCTGTTGTTGGCGCTGCGACGGGTGGTTGGATAACTCCTCCTCCCTCTCTTTGCCTTCGTCGCTGACGTCGCTGCTCCTTGAGTATGCGCTCGGCTCGCTCTAACGGACACTCCGAAATGTTGTGCGCTTCCTCATTGACAGCGCTGTCATCATTCACAACAAAGGAGCAGGGATAATATTGCGATGGTTCTGGCTCCACAGGCTGTGAGTAAATAGATTCTTCATCAAACCGACGCGGCGCAGGCATCTTAAAAGCGCCAGGGCGATGTACAGGACTCCTAGCAGCGAAACGATATAAAAACAATTTAGTTAAAGCTGATTCTGTGGAAGGATGCAAAACCTACCTAATACCCCTCAGGTACATGGCATGCGTGGTGGTGTCATTGTGTTCTTCATCATCGCTTGAGACTATAACAGAGTCCTTTAGATAAGCACCAAAGCTGCGTTCCGCATGCTCATCCTCCTCGTGATTGGATCCGCTTTGGTCTGCCTCTTCCAGAATAAATTCGTTAAACTTGGCGCGTTTGCGACGCGGAGGTGTCCGCAGATCTGGCTGGAAAGTAATTGTTGAATGAGTCAGGGAACAAGGTAAAAGGCTTCTGCTCTTACCACCTGTGTAGCAGGCACTTCCTCGAAGCTTTCGTCATCCAAAATTTGTGTTACCTCCGCCTTCTCCTCGTCGGATATGTCATAGGCCTTGCGCTTGCCTGGGCGACGCCGCATAATTGGTGAGTCCTCTTCTAACTGAGATGGCTTAGCAGCTGCATTGCTGGTCATAGTGTGTATGCGCTGCGCTTCTTTGGACAGGTGGCCATGCCCACGCATGCGACGCAGATAGTTCTCGAAAATACTTGGAGACTTTAGCTGAGCAGAAGGAGCGGGAGCGGGAGCGGGAGCGGACGTTCGATCCGGTGAACGATCAGCAGGTGCACTTATAGCTGTGACTGAGGGTTTGGCAGCTAGTTTCGCGGCTAAGCTCATAGCTGGAGCAGGTGGCGTTGGCTTCCACGGCGACATAGAATCCTCTGCAAAGATGTCAGGTGAGAAAATTCGCGGTGGAGTTGCAGCTTCTGGTTGATTTTTCTTAACTGAGCTCAGCTTCTGCTCGTCAGAAGCAATTGGTTGATTCTCCTTTACGCTAATCCTTTGCTCCAGCAGCTGGTCATGCAACGCTGTTGGCTGACTTTCCTTTTGTTGCAGTAGCTGCTCTTCAGGTAGCGGCTCTAGAAAATCGTTGAGATCCAGCTCGAGTGCCTCTGGCGTGGCTACAACAGCAACAGAATCCTGCTGCTCAGCCAGCTGATCAAAGGTCGACAAATCTTCATCCAGTTCGTCCAGCAGCGACTTCTTACTCTGTTTATTCTTCTGCAGTGGCGTGCTTGCCGCGCTCATCAGGCAATTGAGACGACTCAGGTTGGCGTTAAGCTGATTGCAGTCTGCTGTCGAATCCTTTTCAGTTGTCACCTGCCGCTCTCGCAACGGCGTGGAGCTGTGCCGTGCTGTCTCCGCCCATTGACTTTGATAGACAGAGGTGGAGACATCTGTAGTCTGCAGACAATCGTCTTCTGCTGTCTCCTGCTCCTGCCAATCCTCGTATAAGCTTGTCGCCTCATTATCTAGCTGCTCTCTCACGGTCTGCTCTAGGCGGCGAAGCTCTAACTGCTCCCATTCTTGCTGCAGCAGCTCGTGGTTATCCGCACAGATACCGGTCTCTTGCAAGCCCTCAAATATGTCCACGCAGACTTTTTCAAAGCCTGATTGCTCGTCCATCGGCTGCTGCAAATCTTTAAGCGTTAGCTCCGCACAGCTTGACTCGCCTTGCTCCAAGATGCGCTCCAAGTGCTCGCCGCAGACGGATTGAAGTATCTCGTATATCTTTCGGGTGCGCTGTTGCCTGGAGTTCAGACGCGTTGCCGGCAGCTGCCGCTGCAGTTGTTCCATCATCTTTGTATGTATATCACGCACAAAGTGTGCATTGCATTCAATCAGATAGAGCTTGAGTGCAATAGGGAGTTGCTTGTCCTGCAACTGAGCCACCAGATCCTGGTTACGTTGTGAGTCGCTGACCAAAGGCTTGGTTGCCTGCAGCAGTCGCGTTATCTTGCGCAGGCGCTGCAACTGGTCCTGAGCACTGCTGCTAGCAGACAATGGAGCATTTGCTGCCGTCGGTTCATGGTCTTCCTGCGTGTCCAGCAGGAAGTTCTGGATCGGCACGCTCTGCCGTGCCGCTTGCTCCTGGAGTAGCTGCTGTGAGGCCTCGCTTACTTTGTATGTCGGTTCACCCTGCAGAAATTTGTCTTGGCTAAGCGCGAAGTACTTGCGCAGATCATGGCATTTAACTATCGGCTGCATGGGTTGCTTGCGCCCCTTTCCTGTGGGTGAGGGTGCCTGCGGCTTGGGTTTAATGGGCTCCATGAAGCGCTGCTCGCACCGTGGATGAAATTGCGGTGGCACCAGTCGTGGCGCGTGCTGATACAAAACGCTCTTGACCAACGTCGACTGCAAGAGTTTGCGATTCATTTGATCCTTGTTGGCCAGCATCTCCTTGAGCAGTTGCTGCTCTCGTCCATCTGTGACCAGTATAATCACATCACCATTTTTCTTCCTGCCTGTGCGTCCGATGCGCTGTGTAAAACGTGTCGGATTTGAGCTGCAGATATCAAAGCATACAATCAGCTCCACCTCGCCAACATCGAGGCCTTCCTCGCCAATGGAAGTGGCCACCAGCACATTGCATGTTCCTTGGCGAAAGTCCGACATAATTTGCAACTGCTCCTTTTGGGTTAAAGCACAAATTCCATTACCGCTTGAGTTTTGGCCAACAAAGCAACGCGGCCGCAACATCGGTCTGTGCTGCAACAGTAAACGTTGAATCAGCATCACGGATTCACGATACTCGCAGAAGACAATCGCACGGGAATCAGCATGGGACTGAAATTAGATATAGTTAGGGAATAAACTAGGCAATCACTGAATCAATACTACCTCGAAATGCTTTAACATCACCAGCCTGGCCTGTTCGTATTTGGGATGCCCAAAGTCTAGGGTAGTGGGCAGCGGCGCCACCTGCCCATTGGTCATGGCGTGCGTGGAGTGATCTAGAGGATTGTCACCTAGCTCTTGGCGAACCTTCTCCACCAGTCCCCTAAGCGCCACATCTTTTAGTACAAATTTATCTCTTCCTTGCTCGCCCGAATCAAAGTTATTTACAAAGACGCGCAGCCCATGCCGCTCGAGAAGCTCCAATGCGTGATACAAGCTAATGCACATGGAAAAGTTGCTGACAACCAAGCTGTGTTCCGGATGACGCTCACCCCTGGACACATTCTCCTGATAGCGGCTCTGATCGTATAGCAGATTGTTCCGCGAAATATTGCCGCGTGCTCCCTTCAGGACATTTGCTGTAATTAGCTGTCGCAGATAAGGATCGATAATTTGTAGAAGCTGTGCACGCGGCTCCTTGATTCGATCATCCAGAGGCACTACAATGGTGCGCATGTTGCGCTTATGCACATACTGTCGCACATCTATGGAGTCATCCCAGCGCACATCGAGATGAGAGATGTACAGATTGCGGCACACGGCAGCCACGTCTTCCATGGTACGTCCCGGTGTTGCAGAGAGAGCCAACATGCGGAAGTAAGGATTGCGAGCCATTATAGATTCTGTGACCTAGATGAATAAACTTATGTTTAATAAATATATATTTAACTCGATGTATTACTTGATTATTGAACCTGTGTGTATGCATATCGTCCCTTGGCCCTATGCGCCTCATCCACTACGAGCAATTTGATGGACATATAGGGGAATTGCAGGGCATCACGGTCGCCCGTGTCTAGCATATCCGATTGCACTACTTGGGGCGTGGCAAAGAAGACGCGTTTGGTCGCCCACAATTCGGCGCGTTTAGCACGTGGCAAACGTCCAGTTAGCTCCACGGTATCCTCCGGGGAAAATGGCATTATTGTTTGGCACGCAGTGATCTGTTGGGCAACCAGTGGACGCGTTGGAGCCATGAAAATTAATTTGCCCTCGGGATACCAGCGATGAAAATTGTACATCACAACCGCTGCAATGAAGGTCTTTCCCAAGCCAGTGGGCAGCACCACCAGCGTGTTGCGATAGAGCGCCGCTTGCACAATGCTGTGCTGATACGAGCGTAGTGGCAAATTGTTCGGATAAAGCCAATTGTTACCTGCGCTCTCATCGAAGCCGACACATTCGCTAATAATTCTTGGCTCTGATTCCGCTGGTGTATCGAGTAACTTTCCCAAAGCCTCATCATTTAATGCTAGATCGATGTCAGCATCATCAGCAGGCCAGTCGTTATTCATGTTTGCATTTAAGAAGCAAACTTAAAGTAAACTTAAAGCAAAACAAAACAAAATGCGTAAATTGCAAAACAAAAACAAATATGAAATGTAAATTTGGCACACTGAAACAGTTGTGGTCACAAAGCTGCCAGATGGATGGAAGTTTTGGTATTATTAATCAGTGCAACAATACAAAGATCGGAGATAAGAAGCAGCACATTATGCTATTGCCAATTTTGTAGAAAAAAATACAAAGTTTCTTCCAAATTCAGGTCTTTAATATATATTTCAACAAATAACAAGTTTTCTGTTAATACCTTAATACCTTAGTTTTTTCTTTAATTTTCCTGTTGTCGCTTAACAACACTGTCCTGCACTTTGGCATTTCTTGTCTTCTAGCCGCTTTATGGTAATTTCCGCTTTACTGGGTACGGTCACACAACGTCAGTGCCGCTTTTTTTTCTGTTGTATGCAGAGCACGTACGCGGTGTTTTTTTAAACCATTTTGGGTGTTTCGTACATTTCTCGCGGATATTTACGTTTAACGAAACCAACATTTATAAAACAAACCTGTGTACGTTCAATATTTAGTGTGTGTTTTTAATAAAGTGAGCAACCAATTAAATTTTTAATATGTATAAAATTCTATGGCTTCCCAATACATTTGTGAGATCTTAAGCGCGCGTCCTTTCGTAAAAAAAAACAACCCGCCTCAATTGCATTTGTTAAATGTGTTAATTAAATCAAATGATGCTTATTAAATATTTTCGTATGAATATTTATTGCGAGTTTCAGTTATGGGCTGCATGAGTTTTAACATTTACCGTTAGGGCCAGTCGCTGGACGTTGTGTTTGAGTGCGTTTATGTGTGTTTTATTGTAAGAGTATGTGTTTGTGTGTTTGGCTGCAACATTCAACATGTTGCAGTCAAAACAAAAGGCAGCCATAAAAATCAACAACATAAGCATCAGCAGCAGCAGCAACAACAACAATAACAACAACATCGTACAGCAGTGATCACAGCTTAATTTGTTGTTGTTGTTGCTGTTCTTTTTCTATGCTTGCGCTCTCAGCCGTCGCTCTCCCGCTCTCGCTCTTTGTACGCAAGTGTGTGTGCGTGTGTGTTTTTGTCGTGTTTTGTTTTGATTTTTACACACACACACGCACACAGAGAGAGGGAGAGAGTGCGGTAGCAGCCGCAATTTTGAACTGATTTCCGCGCTGCTCTTGTTACTGTTGTTGTTGGTTTTTTGTGTGCAATCTAATAAATTTATCGTTGTAGTAGTTTATGTACGCGTCGCTCTCATTGAAATAACAAACTAATGAAAAAAATCAAATTGGATTATCGCCAAGCTCCGTGCTAATGTTGGGTAAGTGACAAAAGTTGTGCTTATTCCTATTTGTAATTCCCTTTACTTTCTGCTCCTTACTTGTTTTGCGCTAGTTTGAGTGTGTGCGTGTGGGTGGGCCAAGAAAGACCTTGGCCATTAAATACTTCACATTGATTGCAGTTGCCTTTTGTGAACTTTTGCATGAGCTTTGCAAAAGCTTTGGGTTAAACTAAAAATAGATCAAGCTGCGGACCAGTTTAAGTGCTTATACTCTAACTCCAACAACAGCAAAAGCAACAACAACGACAATACATCGGCATCAGTGTTGCTTAATGCGAGTATTTGATTGGTGCGAGGGCAGCCAAACAAACTCTGTCTACGCGTAGCTAACAGCTAATTGAAAACGTTTAATTTATGGGGTAACCCTTGTAACTATTCATTTAGAAAATGCATATATTGAAGCCTTCCAAAACAAGAAAGCTTTATTGCCTATTTACAAATGCTAATCTAAATCATTGATGTATCTGACAGCCCTCGTAACAAAGCGAATTCGAAGAGCGCTTGCGAAACAGCGATTGCACTTTGTAGTTGCTGCCGTTCTTGTTGCTCTCTGGAAACAATTGCCTGGATTTTCTTTGGAGTTTAGCTCGCATTGCACAGTACGACGAATGATGGATGTGCTGCCGTTGCTGCTGTCGGCGTCGGCGTCGACGTCGACGTCGACGTTGGCGCTGGCAGCATTTGCTGACTCGAAAAGTTGTCGGTTGAGTTTTTACGGCTTTGGTTAGGTTAACATTTTATTTGCCTTTTCTTGTTGACTCTGCTTCTCTCTAGCCCTCTGTTTCGGTGTTTGTCTCGGCTGCTGCTGTGCGTTGCTGTCCTTGTTTGATCCTTATTTCGGTGAGAGAGAGGGTTAGTGTGGAAAGTGATCTTACTCTCTTTCCAATCAAATCAATCAAAGAACATTTAAGGAACGGAGATACACACATTAACTTGAAAAGATGAGAAACGAGAAAGAGAGAGAGAGAGAGATAGTACGCGATAAGTTAAAGGTAACATAATAAGAATGGTTTGTTTACTTTGTGGCGTAAAATATGGGTTGAGTTTTATCTAAAATACTGTTTTTTGTCCAAATTCGGCTAATAAATAAATTCTTTAGAAGTTAAAGATAATATTTCTTACCTTATGAATTATATTTATGTTTCTGCTTCCTGTGTTTCCAGAAATACTTCAGAAAGACTAACAAGAAAATTCAAAAAAAAAATTTATTTAAGCAATTTAAAATATAGAATACAGTTAGTTAAGAAGGAATAATTTGTAGTTATATAAATATTAATATTGCAGATGATAGTAATAATTATACTATTTAAGCATTACAAATCAATTATTAGATATATTTTTTAAATGTATCTTAAATTTTGCAGTATTTCGTTTTCCAATTGATAACTCATTAAATAATTCATAATTAATTCAGTTTTGCTTTTACTTATCTCTGATAACTTGGAAATTCAAGTTATTTACATCTGTAAATAATTAATTGACTTGTTAAAGATTCTTTCACTTGTAACATGATATGGTTAAAGATATATTAAGACGAGTGTGTAATTAGCTTGAGTCGCTTTGTACTAGCGTTTATAGATTAAAGATTTAACTCGAGTTTCGAGTCGCTTCTATAGCTGAGCACTCGCTCGTCGCCCCTCTCACTCTCTCGCACGTAGTCAAATTTCTACCTAACTCTAACGTGCTCTCCCTCGCACCCGCTTGCGCTCTCTCTGTGTGTCTGTCAGTTGTCTTCGTCTCGTGCGTTCGCGTATCTGCGTCTTCTTGTACCGGAAGTTGCTTTGGCTCAAAGGTTGTGTGTGTGCTTGTTGTGTGTCTCTCTGTGTATGTGTGTGTGTTTGTGCTTTGTCGAGCAAGTGAATGACCCAATTAAGCTGAGCGAGCAGCGCTTTAGCCTCTGCTTAGGCTTAGCCGTTGTCTAAGGCCTCCAAATGTAGGTGGCCGCTCAGCGAGTGATGTGTGTTTGCATTGTTGCATGGGGATAGTGTTGACTCCAAAACGGGTTTCGCTTGCAACTGCAACCGCAACAACTGGCAGCAGCTCCTTTTAGCCATTTGGCTGTGGCATTTCTGTATTAAATATTTCGCACCATGTTCTGCATTATTTCGATTGCCTGCTGCTGCCTTTTGCCTGCGACTTGGCATATTTTGTCGTTGACTCAGTTGAGGTCAATGCTGCCAGCCTTCCTCATGCATCTCCCCTTCGTCTCCTCCTCCTCCTCCTGCGCTGGTGCTCTGCTGGTCTGATGCTCTGCTGCTGGGTGAGCAAACAGGTTTTTGTTAAAGCTTTGCTGCTTGCTGTAGTTTTTGTTGTGGCTGTTGCTGTTGCTGCTGTCGCTGTCGCTGTCGCTGGCTCTCCCACAGTTTGGGACAGTGCGCGCATTGAACCCTCGCTCCACGCTCGCTGCAAGTCCAGCCGATGCGAATCATCCCCCTAATAACAACAGCAACAACAACTCGAAGACAGCCCTTAAACAATGCTGCGCGTTCCGCTTTGAAGACAGTTAACAAAATATGTCAATAATTATATTTAAGACTATAGTCTAATTTTAATTTAGAAAAATAAACAGAGTAAATTTAATTATTTATAATACAATTTAATTTATTATTAGCTTACATTTTTATTAAAATTTATTATTTTACATTTTTATTAATATTTATTATTTTCATAGAAAAGATTAAAAATTCTTGAAACTAATATTATGACAGTATTGGTCTTAGTCTGTCAACTTTATTCTTATTATTACAATATACCTTTAAGACCATCAAAACCTTTGGCTATATCTTCTTAACCTGTTAGATTGACTTGATTCAGTTGAATTTCTTGGCTGCTTAAGAAACAGGGTCATTAGAAATGAACTCACCTTACGGGGCATTGCAGTTTTGTGCTCGTTAACAAAAGCTTAAACAGAGTATATTGGTTCTGTGATATGTTTTCCTTTGTTCATACATATATCTCGTTGTAAATATATCTAATATTCTTTAACTTTAGCTCTTTAAGTTTCCTGTATTTTCAAGTTTTTGCTATTTTGCTGAAATGTTCCTTATATTCCGATAAGTTCAGACTCTATGTTTAAAAATATTTCAATTGTTTTATTAGATTTTCTCAAGTTGAATTTCAGTGATAATATACAAATTTATTGAACATATTTTTCCATTTTAGTTTGGTTATATATAACACACATTAAATATCTTAAATTTAATAAAGAGAAACACTTTGAATACTGTTTGCAACGTGTTCAATTGATTTGCCAAAGCAACGCAGTTGATATTTAAATTCCTGCAGACTTAAACATTATTTCGTGCAGTGTTGTTTGTTGGATATGTTGCTTGTTGCTTGTTGCTGTTCCCGCTTCGGCTATCCCGAATTTGCGAGCCCCATTCCAGGTGTTTCGTAGACGCTGCGTAGCAGGCGCTCAGCTGTTGCGATTAGTTGCTGTGCGCTGCATGTGTTGCATATCGAAATTGCCAAGTGGCAGAGCCAGAGGCAGGGGCAGACCAGTCACAGCAACAGAGGAACAGACACAACAACAACAACAACGATTTGCAACGTGCACCGGTTTATGGCTTTCTTCGTACAATTTCCCCCCTTGCATTGTTTGTGTGTGAGTCTGTGTACATGAGATGTGTGTGTGTGTGTGTAATCTGTATTGTGGAGCTTTTTTGCTTGCGCTTTCTTTCTAGTCGCCTGTTTCGTTGCTGCTGCTGCTGCTGCCTGCCACAGCGACAACAGTTGCAGCTGCACTTACTGCCACTTGCTGCAAAACATCTGCACGCAAAACACACACACACACACACACACTCAGTGACAAAGGGCGCAGCACCTTTTGGGGCGGTTTATGAAAGATTTTCCAAAAGTTGCGCGCTTTGAACTTAAAATTGTCTGGTTTTAAAAGGGTAAGAAAGATGTAATTAAGGCGTTTGCTGACATTAAGTGAATTGAATTGCAGCTGATCATAAAATATAATGAAAATACTATTGAAAAAATAAATTAAGATGCAGAAAAAATTATTTTTGTTGAGTTTGCCAATGACTTGAAGCGCTATAATATAATGTTTATCATATCTTATTTCAATCAAAGCAAAATTGTAAACACATAGACAGATATTTGGCAGTCTACGATCTGCTATATGTATATATTAAAAAATATATATAACATTAATTTATATTCATTTAAGCCTAATTGTTTTGTTTTTCTTTATTTATAAATGAATAAAAGTTGTTAAATATTTTAAATAAAAAAAGTTTATGTATATATATAGTTATTTTATTATATTAAACTAAATATAAAAAATACAGATATATAGCGAAATAATAAATCATATTAAATTATATTAAATATCTTAAATATATATCTTAAAAACTTTTATACAATTAAAAACAGAACTTTCAGAATTTTAACAAATTCAAATGCAAAAAAAAACATCTAAAAGAAGAGAACAAAATGCTTTAATCAGCATAAAATCTTAAACAGAACAAGCATGGCATATATAGGTATATATATATATATATATAAACAGCACATATCAATGGCGACAATATGTATAAATATATATATGCTAACGCTTACATACACTGCAAGAATAAACAGATGTACTTGTGTGTGTATAAAAAAATTGTATATATATAAAAAAAGGAAAAATATAAACAAATAATTAACTGACATATCCGTATGCTTATCGCGCAACAAACCACAGCAGCAACAGCACACGCACACACACGCGCGCACACTCACACACACACACACACAAGCTACAGCGAGCGAGCGAGAATCTGAATTTTGTATCTGACAAAATGCCATAATGAACGTGCTGAGTGCTTCGTCGTCGTCGTCGTTGTTGTTGAGGCCCGAGATACACTCGCACTTGGCTGGCGAGCAACAACAGTAACAAAAACAACAACAAAAGTATCTACAACATCAAACGTGCGTTGCGCCGACGCCAGCAGCAGCAGAGCAGCAACAGCAACAGCAACAGCAGCAGCAGCAGCATTTGCTCTGTACATTTTTTCGGTTAATATAAATCAGTTGGGCGCACACACACACAAATTTATATAAAGATATATATATATATCGTATATACACATGTATCTGTGTGTACTACCTACAATTCGAGGTATAGATAGAGCATACAGCATAAAGAAACTCGCTTGCTGTCGCGTGTGCTGTGTGTCTTATATATCTTAGAAGATTTTAGAAACGATTTAGAAACACACTACAGAAGACAGAAGACAGACGGACAGACTCTGAAGGCACGCGTCTGTCAGATACATTTGCAGCTAGCTGTTCAAGTATAAGTATGTACATGTTTACATATATATACATACAAATATATAATATATATAATTTTCGCATGGCCCGTTAACTATGCAATGGCCCAAGGTTTTGGTCCAAACGAGCCGTAGCTGGCAAAGACCCTACGTAGAGCTTGTTGTTCAGCTATAGTACTATATATATATATATATATATATATATATATATATATATATATATATATATATTTATGTACACTCAAAGAAATTGCCAATTGAAACTCGAACATAAGAATGTTTTTTTTTTTATTCAAGGTCGTAATGTGTTGACCACAGCTACTTCAATGCATTAATAAATGTCTCACACTTAGCCACCAATTTTCGCTTATTCATATTTAAATAGTGTTTTTTTGCGCAGTGTATATATTAAATATATATATACATATATATATCACAAGCATTGGCAACAACAAGTGAAACGCTTGAGCTGATATTTTGCCTTAGCGTGGGAACTTTTCTAGTCCAAATGCTTAAATATTGGAGCTAAATATACCCTAGATTAAGAAAGCATTTAGAGCTGGTAATGATGTTTCGAACTAGTTAATGATGTGAGCATAGAAAACCTTTAACTGTAAATGAGCTGTCCTGACTACGTCTTATGCTATGCGCTTTAAATATATGTTATACAGGTCATCTGCTAGTCAAGCAAGCTCTTCTATTAGCTTTGATATTTTTATTATATTTTATCTATAGGGTATCGCTAACTAGCTAGACAAACCGCAAGCCAGTTTGACACGCCATTCAGAGCTCACCAAAGGCAACATACATTAGGTTGTGGTTCGAACCCGGATCTTTTTTGCATCGTTGTCTGGAAGACCTACTTAGATAAGTTTGCTATGAATATTGCTGAGATAATAGCTCACATCAACATAAACAGATTTAAGCAAATAGTTAGCCAGAAATCATATATACAAAGTTCGATTTCCAAGGATAAAGATCAAAATAAAACAAAAATGTTTCAATCTAGATACAAAGTTCGATTTCCAAGGATAAAGATCAAAATAAAACAAAAATGTTTCAATCTAATCCAGGCAGAGTAGAGTATAAAAACTTAATGAAGTCTTTTATTTTATCAGAATATCCCCAGACTTATTTTATAAAATTATTTTCAAACTATAGTTCAACAATTTAAGAGCAAGAAAATCCTCGATTGCACTTAGAATCGAATCAAGGAAAAAGTGCATTTAAAATTCGTTATTCTGTGCTTTCTCAACCTTTTTTTTTTATTTAAATTAAAAGTGTGCGTTCATTGCCTGATTTTATTCAAAAGTTATTTAAATTTCGTATATAAAATTGTGCGCTTCAATGTTTTTGTTTCATTTGGGTTGAGGCAAACGAATTTCCTGCAACATTTTTTATTGAATTCGAATTGGCCCGACAAATCGTTATCCAAATTCGAAATTCGAAACTGGTTCTGGCTTAGACAGCTGGCAACAATTGTAGCTCGGTTCAGATACTTTTTTTATGTGGAGGGGGTGTTGCGAGGGGAGCTCGAGATTTTTATATTCATTCATTAATTTGATGGCATGCCAGAGACGCGACGCGACGCTTCGCCTTGTTCGCCTTTCTGATGCATAGTAATTATATTTGATTTTTTCTCGTTTTTTTTTTTGTGAGGGACTCTACGTATTTCTCTCTTAGACTTTCACTTTTCTGCTTTGTTTCAGGCAAACATTTTTTAATGTTGCTGTTTTTTGTTTGGTTGGGAATTACGTAAAGATGAATGCCCGCCCATTGTCTGCCTGGGCCGGGCTCTGGAATTTAGAGCGGGGGTGTCTCAGGTCGTTGATCGTTGCGACTTCCACTCGACTCGACTCGCAATCTTTAGGCTTAGCCCACTTGCAACTCGGCTCATATATGGGGCAAGAATTATGGCATATGTCCTAGAATTATATAGTAACTATAATTACACTTTAAGAACTTGCTACATAACTGCTCTACCTTTACACATATATATATATATTTCTATATATCATATTTTATTTGGTTTCAGTATTCAAATTCCAATATTTTTTCCGTTTTGTAAATTCTTCTTTGAATCCTATCCGTAAACGATTGCGACACTCACACTCAGTCTCTATATCGTACTGTAAAAACATCTTCGTAAACGTTTGTCGTTTCTTTCTATCCCGCTTACACTTACATCATTGCGTTGGCATTTTCTTTCTATTTATGCTTTCAATCGTGTTCGATTATGTAAAGAATATGCTTTGACGTATTGCTTATATTCATTAGGGTTGCTTTGTATCTAACTCGTAAACGTTTCAAATAGTATTTAATCTATACAATGCAAAATCTTTTGCTTTAACTTGTTCTCGCTTCGCTTTCTGTCTCTTTCTGGCTCTTCTGTTTGCTATCTTGAGGGCAATTAATCTGCTTTTCTCTCTTTGTCTTCTGCTTCCCACTCTCTCTCTCTCTCTCTCTCTGTGTCTCTCTATTGATTGACAATATATAACAATTAGCTGCATATATTTTGTTTGTTATTTGTTGTTTATTCGATAAATATGTCCGATAACTATTCGATAGCTGTCAAATGTCAAACGAAATGAATTGCGCACACACCTTCTATGCACATTCACATGTCACACAGATTCGAGTCAAACGCAAAAAAAAAGAGAATTAATTTTTACCTCCAGCTCTCTGTCGAAATCAATCAAGGCCACACACAAAACACACACACACACACGCACTTCATGACACATTTCATTGGAAAATGATTGCAGGGAAAACAACAAAAAATAACAACAACAACAACTGCAGCAGCAGCAGCTCAAAGATGTGGAAAAACAGACCGTATCGAATATGAAGTCAATTTATAAAAGTCGCCCCAAACTGGACAACAAATAAGCACAGCAACAACAACCCTGTCTGTGTGTGTGTTTGTCGGTGCTTTTTACTCCTTTCTGGTTGTCAACGTTAATTAATCAATCATTGTACGCACGTTGGCGGCCCATTAATCATTTTCCCCGTGTTGCTCTAAAACTTTAAATTCAATTTTTAGCCCGAGGAGAAGAGCTGACTTAAGCATTATCATTTAGGCATTCAATTATTCAATCAGCTTTGTAGATTTTATATGCCCTGCATTGTAAGTATTGTAAGGATACGACGGAGGCGTCTTTAATCTTCTTCTATTCAGCTTATATGTGGCTTAATGATGATCACATCAATCATTCAATCATTGCTTAATTCACGTATAAAGATGCCATTGTAAAGGCTATTACACTAATGTAGGGTATGCATCTTCGAGCTTATTTTGGGCATATAAATACTCTATAAAACATTGAAGGTTATATATATATATAGTTGTATATCTGTCCATTATATACAGCTACAATAATTTATGTATTCAATCACTCAGTCAGTTTTGTAGATTTTATTTTATACTTATTCTAGTGCTGGGTATTGATTGATGCACTTTAATCTCCTATTTAGTCATTAGAATATCAGAATATTGTATCATTCAATCACTTAATCAATCAATCAATCAATCAATCAATGATTGCTTAATTCACATATTAGCCTGCATAGAATTTTATTGTGTTTTTTATTTGAATACTTTCTATATATTAATGAACCATCAATCATGAAGGTATTCAATCATTCAATCAACCAATCGGAGCTAACTTTGAGATACTTTCTAATGGTTCTCTTACACCTTAAGATATTGATGGAATTATTGTTGATCTTTATGTATATATATTCTTGAAGAGCATCAACAGATGAGTAGATTTATCTGTATACTTCAGTTTTAAAGATCTCTCGATCAACTTTGGAGCTTCAATATACTTGATTGATCACTACATCAATAATCTCTTGATTCGCTTGATTCATTTCAAGGAGTATTTAAGCGTCTTCAGACTAAAAATAACTTTTCTTTCTGAATATTTTTATTTGTCTCTGAGGATGATATCCTTTTCATAGCTCTTGTTGCTCTTGTTCTTCTTCATTTTTCTGTATGATGCGGCACTTTGCATAGTCGTCGCCTTCTTTATTGTTGTTGTTGGGCATTTGTAAATCAAATTGCATGGAAAACAAAGTGACCATGAAGCAGGGGCTGTGAGGGGCTTTGTATTGGCCCTCAGCATTGAACGTGCGCTGACCCAAGCGGAGTTTTTTATTCCACAGAGTTGCCAAAGCCCAACAGAGATTCGAGAATGATAGAGAAGGCGAGAGAAAGAGAGAGAGAGAGAGAGAGACAGAACGAGCAAGCGAGATGGAGGCGAAGGTAGACGGAGACAAAGCGACTTGTTTGGTGGGGCCACTCAACACGTTTCTGACTGTTGTGCGAGTGCGAGCATGTGTCAGTGTGTGTGTGTGTGTGTATGTATGCGCTTAAGCATGCGACCGCACTTGTGCCACGTACAACGAAAAATACAAAACAAAACAAGTCAAAGAATGCTTAAAAAAGCTTTGGTCTACAAAAATACCCTGGCAATTAAATAGAAAGCACGAAAATTAGAAATAAGAGAGAGAAAGAGATGCTAGAATAATACTGTAGAAAAGTAGGTAATGATAAAGGCATAAAGAGATAAAGCTAGAGGCACTTGATAGGTTAAAGACGATATACATAAATGTATGTATGTCTCTTTTGAACTGTCTATACAAATATACGTTTATATATTATGATATAGACCGAGAGAGAGAGAGACTGCTAGACATGCATATGAGACATATATAGACAAGGGCGTGAAAGAGTGAGATAGAAAGAGTTAAGGTGAAAAAGAGAAACAGATAGACAGACAACTAAGGATATAGAGAGGGAGACAGACAGCGAAGTTATTGGAGAGAGAATGAGAAACAAAGAGCGAGATAGATAGAAACATAAAAGTAGAACGACAGACAATAGAGGGAGATAGAGAGATAGAAAGAAACATAGGAGGACAAATAGAAAAGGAAGGTGATCAGAAAAGACGATAGTAGATATTGAGAGATATAACAGAAGAAAAAGAAAGAGACTCCAAAAGAGCTTAAGAGATGGACAAAGTTTAATCTGAATATACCCAGAAATCAATAGACAGTCAAAGTGAGAGAGAGAGAAGGAAAGCTAGAGCGAGGACTTTTTAAGAAATTTTAAGGACAGTGGAGCGTGAGAGAGTAGATTTCAAAAGAAGCACCAACCATTATACATTATAATCAATCTACCCCATTGGCAAAAGCAAAGGGGTGCCAGGGTATGCGAAAAGTTCATTTGAACGCTTTTCTTTTATGCTGCGGCACACAGGTACAGATACAGATACAGATACAGATACAGCTACAAATACAGATACACAAATTTTGATGCTCGCTGAGCCACTTGAGCATATTTTCGTGTTCTTCTTCAGCTGTTCCTCCTGTTGTTATTGTTGTTGCTGCTGTACCACTTGAATTCGGTTTGGCGCGCTCCAAAAATACCAGCTCCATAGACCCCCGAAAAAGAGAAAAAACTGATTGCACTCATCGTTTGTCTTAATTGGGCATTTTTATGTATTTATTAAATGCAAAAGCAAATCGAGTGGCCCAGCAGAGCACAAGGATGTCTGTCCCTACTTCAGGCAATACAAAATTTTTTATGGAATGAGGCCTGTCAGCCAACTCCCATTCCTCCAGCTCATGAGTGAAACTTTAATCTGCAAGCAAAATTGAAATGTTAAATATCAGATATTTGAACTCGCCAATGCATAGATCGAAGCTACATTCTATGCTAGCGAATCTATAGGGTATAATGGATCGATGATGAGGACTTAGCGTAAGTTGAGCGCAATTTTTTCCTAATTAATACTAATTTATGGGCTAGAAATTTGAAATTTAGAATAGATACTCGTCAGTATCCTCGTCTGATAAAGTCTTAAGAAATTTCCCGATACGCCTGCTAGGGGCGTGGCAAATTAAAGTACTATAGATTTGGGATTTGGAACATATACTCGTGTTGACAATCCAAGATTTAATGGATATATATACGACCATTGGGATAGTTTCAAAACGGGTAAAAGTGTATCTTAAACCACACAGATCGCCAGATAACTGTATGTTCACACCCACTAGGGGCATGGCCACTCTTATCTGACTATATAGTATATTCAGAACAAATTCTGAGCACTATTGGTACTACTTTTAAGGATGAAATATATATTATAAAGTTTTTTCTTAAAGAAAAATAATGTATATATATATATAATATGCGTATATATATATTATATAGTATAAACGTTATGTTATATAGTGTAAAAATACATATATTATAGACTTTAAATACATGTCTATATTGTTAGCTTGCTTAAATAATGTTTAAGGATCTCTGTTAGGGCCAATGAAAACAGTGAACCATACGAGTAAATCTTTATTTGTTATCAACTTGGCCTAAGCCAACTTGGCTAGCGTATATGAATTCTATATAACATACCACATTATCGAGCTCCATAACACTTCTGACTGCCCAGTAATTCGTGCTGTAAGACAATGGCTTTTATGGCCATAACTGTAAGTGTTGTTGCATAGATATAACACAAGTATTTGCTAATGAGAATTGCTCTTCAGCTTTTAGCATAACAGAAACATGTTATGCTTACTTCCTTGAGCGAGCGCAAGCGAGAGAGCTGGCCTAACAGAGAGCAAAACTAAATATATATATATATATCTGCATAGGAAAGCCGAAGGCGAAGCCGGTCAGCCGGCAGCCACACACACAAACATGCACAAGTGCATGTGTGTGCGAGGAGGTGAAGCGAAAGACAACAGCAAACAATGTTCTTGATGGCCGTCGAGCGTCTATCGTCCATCGTCCATCGTCCATCGTCCATTGTCCGTTGTCCATGTGTGCAGTCGGCGTTGACGTCGACGTCGCGTCGTGGCCTGTATGTGTCACTGCATACACGAGCTGCGCTGCGCTGCGTTGTGCATGCATATGTGTGTGAGTGTGTGCATATGTGTGTGTGTCGGCAGTGCAACGACCTGTGACAAAAAGGCAGCAGCAGCAACAGCAGCCGTCGCCGTCGCCGCCGACGCTGACAACGTGTGACGCATCCGCAGGGATGTTGTTACGTGCCAGCGCAACAGTCAAAGAGCGAAAGAGAGAGAGAGAGAGAGAGAGAGGTAAAGAGAGCGCGCGCGAGAACGAGTATGAGAGAGCGTCGCAGCGAGAGAGCGATGCTTAGGCTGTTGTACAGCTGTTAACAAACTCCCACGCTCTGTGCCGAATGCGTTGCTGTTGTCGTTTGACGTGCGTTTTGTGCGGCTTCTGCTGCTGCGCTGCTTCTTGAACTTCTTCGTTTCTTGCTGCTGTTGTTGTTGTTGCTGTTTTTATCTTCTTTTTTTAGTGTTCGGTCATTTGGTCGTTTGTTCGCTTCATTTGCGGCAGCGTTTAATTTTCTTTCTCTAGTAAAAATATTTTCCATGAAATTGCTTTGTTGCGTACACAAACAGCAACGAAACAGGTTGGCC